ACGGCAGCACAGTCTTCACACTATTCTCCCACGGTTCCTTCTGTTTGTTCTGCATTTACATTAAAAGCATTCAGGTAGTCTGTAGGTCTCCACCCAGACCAACTAAACTACGAACCCAGACGCCAATGAAAACAGTTCTGGTGATACTTCCCTGTGCTTTGTCATCCTCTCATTTCAAATCAGCTTGAGACCACCAAGAAGGAGCTGATGATCATCAGAAGCATACTGGATCACTACTGTCCTGGCATGGATCTGTGACCTTGAATTATGCATTCACAGAAGACAGTATGACTGGGAAAATCGGGAGATGTCAGAGAACATGTTGAAGCCTCTACAAACTCTCCAATTCTTCTTGATAAAGGATGCATAGTTTGAAAAATGGATTATCCCACAGATCTGTTGTGATTTTCCAAAAATAATGTTTTGCAATATTCTTGTTACCTTCCAAGTGCTATTACTATGGATTACAAATGAAACTCTGGACTTCCACCTGCTGACAGGGGGCTTAGTTTCAACCCACACTTTTAGAAAGCAGTCTCAGTTTTGAGCACCATGAAAGACTTTTTCATTTAGATATCATCATTTAAAAGGAATTGGTAGGTTAAGAACTGAGCTATAACATGATATAAAAACAACTCTTACATGAATAATGAATGATTTGCATATCAGATTATTAAATGAAAATCTATCAAAGATCATTTATTAAAATAAACAATCTATCTGCCCTGTTTCTGGAAATATTTTGCCTCAGGGAAAAATTTAAGCCTGGGCAGATAATCAGGATAAGGTATTTGAACACTTAAATCCTGCTGGAGTCTTCAAAGTAGGTATTAAGTGGTGCATTAAATTTGTGCATTTTCTTCTGAGCAGGGTAAATTTGCTCTTCTGTAAATAGTGGGAAAAGCCTTTTACAATAATTTGAATCCATGAATAAATGTAACATATTAAAATTTCTAAAGTACAAGCACTAAATGTTTTTGTACATAAGCCAAATGAGTTGAATATCCAGGACTAAAATTATTCGAGTGACCACAGAAAGATAATATATAATTAAAATGACATCTGCACCACTAAGCGACGGGATGAGAGAAAGTGACATCACAGATCTCATGTAAGCTGCAAGCATATTATTAGCTCTAAACCTGGCTGTAAAATTACTATCTACCCATGGGATTATCTTTAGGCATTCAGAAGCATTGTTTCATTTACTGATAGAACAGGGATGATAACAGGCTGACTTTGCTTGCCACGTTGTTGTTTGGCCTTCCTTTATTCTTTGTTCACATTAGCTGCAGATGAGAGGAAGACAAGCTTCAGCTGAATCACTGTCATGGAGCTTTTCATTGTTTGTTCCAAAGGCTTTTTTTATCCTTTCCACCACCCCCCGCCTCAAGAAAAGAACCCCAAAGTATTTTTAATGATGTTAAAATCAATGAGGAGTAAAAGATGCATACAAGATAACATCCAGGAATGTGGCAACCTAAGGAATACCCATTGGCCTAACGCACCTCAGGGAGATCATAAGACATGGCTTACAGCTCTCAATATTAGCAGAAACCAGTTGGCTTCAGTGGGTACATTTTGTCACTTGAGACCTAGGACACAGGACAGAATTCTCCTTCACGTGCAGGGCTCTCTGGGATACCCAATCTCTACAGATGTAATTTCTGGATTAATTTTTTAAAAATGCATTTTGAACTGTTTCACATACCATTTTTATGTCCCTGGAAAATTATTAAGTTGCCCATACCTGTAACAAGACTCATGCACCACCAACCTAAACCAGCCAAAATTCTAAGAACACGTAACAAGACAGGCAGTGAAAAGGGAAAAAGAGGAAGCTCCAAACTTTCCAGCCACTTTTGAAAGCCACAGTAATGATCCTGAACTGCAAAGGGGATTTAATGTGCCCTCAGAAATCTGGTCCAAGTGTCTAACTCCCAGGATTTGAAATAGTTCCCACATGCCAATTTTGCAAACTAGGCAAAAGTCCAAGAGCAGATGGGTCCATGGACTTATGCATACACTGCTAAGGCAAACATGGACCTTGTACTTTCCTCCACACTGCCCTGATACTGGGCAGCTACTGCTGTGTGTTATCTCTTACAGCATCTCCCTACATCGCTTCCAATATAACCCTATAGCTCTGCTCCATCAACCAGTAAAACCTGCAAACAGGCTGCACATGCACAGATTTCTGCCTCCTGCTCTTGTCACAGAATAGGCTGAGTTGAAGGGACCCACAAGGATCATTGAGTCCAACCCTTAGTCCTGCACAGGATCGTCTCCAAGAGTCACACCATGTGCCAGGAACATCAACCAAACACTTGAACTCTATCAGGCTTGGTGCTGTGATCACTTCCCTAGGGAGCCTGTTCCAGTGCCCAATCACCCTCTAGAGGAAGAACCTTTTTCTAATATCCAACTTAAACTTCCCCTAACATAACTTCAGGCCATTCCCTTGGGTCCTGTCACCAGTCACCGCAGGGAAGAGATCAGTGCCTGCCCCTCCTCTTCCCCTCATAAGGAAGTTGTAATCTGCAATGAGGTCTTCCCTCAGTCTCCTCTAGTCCGAAAGAACAAGTGAATTCAGCCACTCCTCACACGGTTTTCTCTTAAGGCCCATCACCGTCTCCATTGCCCTTCTTTGGGTGTTCTCTAATAGCTGATTATCTTTCTTATATTGCAGTGTCCAAAACTGCACACAATATTTAAGGTAAGGCTGCACCAGAGCAGAGCAAGACCTTCCTTGACCAGCTGGTGATGCTGTGCCTGATGTCCCCCAGGACACAGCTGGCCTTCCTGGCTGCCAGCGCACTGCTGACTCATATTCAACTTGCCACTGACCTGGACCCCTAGGTCTCTTTCCTGGCACTGTTTTCCAGCCTCTCATTCCCCAGTCTGTACATACACCCAGGGTTGCCTCATCCCAGGTGCAGAATCCGGCACTTTTCCTGGTGGAACTTCATCTAGGTGGTGATTGCATAGTGCTCTAATTTGTCAAGGTCTCTCTGCAGGGCCTCCCTGCCTTAAAAGGAGTCAACAGCTCCTCCCAGTTTTGTGTAGTCTGCAAACTTGGTTAGTATCCCTTCCAGTCCTGCATCCTTTATGAAGGTTTTTAAGAGTAGAGGCCTTAAGGTGGAGCACCACTAGTGACAGGTCACCAGACTGATGTTACCCCATCGACTGTTATTACCCTCTGTGCTTGACCTGTTGTCACTAATTTTGCTTTTCTTTGCATTTTCCGTTTTAAAAGGGAGTGAGCATCTCTGGTATAGTGAAAGACTTAGCCCAAGATCGAAGCCCTCCGTGCTACGGCCACAGCAATACACTGTATTTAATAATTTATTAATAATAGTTAATACAGTAATTACTTTTAATCCATGTTGGATTATTTCTTTGTCCCTTTTGTCCTTTGACAATTGATACACAGAATAGACTTTTCATGCAGACCCCCTTTGGCATGAATCTTTGATCCAAATCTTTCCATACATACAGCCAAATCAGTACGCCATTAAAAGTTCCCACTGAACCTGTGCATTAGAAATGGGGTGTCTGAAAGCATTTTAGCTACACCATTCCTGTTAGAAAATACTCCTCCACCACTCAACCTGGGCCAGCAACAATATTTACAAATCATGAGTTGTTTGTGGCCAGCCAGTGGTTCTTACCATGTTTTGGATGTAAAGAAGGACAAAGACTTAAAGTCTGAGGAGGGCAAAGACTGATGAAGGTGGGCTGGAGGAATGACCAACAGCACATGGTGACAAAGTGCAACAAACACAGAAGTAAGACTTCATTGCAGAAAAAGTCAAAGAGCAGAACATGCAATACAGCAAAGAGCAGCAATACTTCTGAATATCAATTTTATTTTTAAATGTCCACTGGAGGTACTGTAAGATAAACCAAAATTCATTTTATCCTGAGAGGTGACAGCTGGGGTGAAGCTGTGGGGTGAAGCAGTAAAAGGTTGGGAGGACCCAGTCTCACCTGTGCTCTTAGCCCATCAGCATTGCGCTTCCTTTCAGAAACATCTCTTATATTTCAATATTAACAGTTTCTTTAATGTGTATGTTGTGGTGTGGTTCATCTCAGTTGTTAAAATTTGTCTCAGCTACCTTAAAAATGGAATTCTCACTGATACTCTTTGTTTCTCGCTACACATCCATAATTAATTGGTTAACTTATTTTTAGGGATACTGTGCACAGTCTGCAGTAAAAAATGATCCAAAAAGACAAGCAGACCTGATGAAGTTTTGTGTCATAGAACTGAATCACAGGCCTATTTCCAAATGCTTCATATACCAAAAATAGAGAGATGTTCACAAAAATGCAGATACTTCACAAATAACAGCGATTAAAAACCAAACAAAAAAATCCCCTCAGACTGCCTTATGACCAAACAAAAGAGGAACAAATTATTTGCTGTTAATGCACACCCATTTATTTGCATGTTTCAGGTGGTATTTACTACCTTTCTAGTTAGCCATCTCTCTATCAGTTGACTGTTCTAATCAGACATTCAGGTTCTTTCCATATTGCAAAGCTGTAGGAACCGTGACAGGACTATATAAAACATGCCCCAGCTCCTAGGTAATGACTGGGTTGAAACACTCAGTGGGGGCTTCGTTTTCTCTGGTCCTTTAGGAAAAGTAGTATAGATACAACACCTGAGTTTAAGATAAGAAGAAATTCTACAGGGTGAATACGTCCTTCTGGGTCTAGAAACTAGGTTGAAAAGTCATCCTAGATGTAACATCTTCTGCATCCTTACTTGAACAGAAATACTAAGAGAAGCAATCTTGTAATGTGTTAACAATTCTGCATAAACACCAACCCTGCCTGATGGTACATAAAGCTAAAAGTTAATAAAATCTTCACTAAAATACTCTGACTGTTCAAACAGACTGAATTTGCTTTTTAAACTGAGGCTTATGTCACTTACAGTTTTCCCTCAAAACATTTGCTTACCCATATATTTCTCACAGAAATAGCCTTACCTCAGCTGCATCTTGCTGGTGCCTGTAGACAATTGCATTTTTTATGGTTTGGATAAAAAATCCATTCAGTTCCTTTTGTTTCTTGTTTGGAAAAATGCGTAGCAGTGGAATCATTATGAATGGGAAAGAAACTGTAAGATATTTTAAAGAGGAAAACATTGAATCAGACTGTGAAGGCATATAATTGTTCCCCCCCCCCTTCATTATTATTATAAAACTCATCAAGTAGGATGTGTTCCTTTTGTGAAACCTGGTTTTTCCCTCTTTCCCTCTCCCTCTTTTTCTTCCACCCCCACAGGTTGGTAAAGAATTTCCTTTTATAAATGTCATGCTGGTCAGGACTCTCCTGTCAGACAGATGCCGTACAAACTCGCTACCGCAATGCTTTAGGATTTTGGTTCAGCTTTTTGATGCCACAGAGCCACCACAACAAAGGGGAGCATTATTTCCTCTGCCTACCCAATTACATAGAGAAGGTGGGAGATCTTGAACTAGCCTAGCAGCTTATGGCAACAATCTGTGAAATTGTGCAGTGCTCATTCTCGTTTACAGTTTTTCAGTATTAGGAAGCCTATAAGGATGGGGACAAACTCTTTCTTTATCAGGGCCTGTTGAAATAGGACAAGGGCTACTAGTTTTAAACAAAAAGAAAGCCAATTTAGATTAGATATAAGGAAGATGTTTTTTTACAATTAAGGTTGTAAACACTGGAACATGTTGCCCAGAGAGGTGGTGAATGCTCCATCCCTGAAAACATTCAAGGTCAGCATGGACAGGGCTCTGAGCAACCCATCTAGTTGAAGACATTTCTGCTCTTTGCAGGGTGTGTGTGGGGGGAACTAAATGACTTTCAAAGGTCCCTTCTAATCCAAACTGTTCTATGATCCTATTTTATCTTACTTCTCTAAACAGGCCAGACATTCTGGAAGAGTTGTCTCCAGTCCATGGCCTTCATAGTCAGGAAGTAGAAATCTGAGTGATGTCTTGCATCCTAATAAATCCCTCATTAAGTTATGAACAATGTAAGACTAACAAATCAGTCATTGGACAAACCCTGTCCTGCCAACAGGGCAACACAGTGTGGAAATTCAGACCACATAATGAATCAACGGAAGAGATGAACCAAGGAATCCAACCTCAAACCCTACAGAGATTTGCTTTAATGAAGGACATGCTCTTGGGGCACATTTCTGTCCCTTAAGAAATTGGTCATAAATCACAATTCACAATCAGGTTAAACATTAACCCAAGGACAATTCAGATACGCAACTCCAGAAGGGAACAGTTCATGTGCTACGAGTACAGGTGCAATCTGTAATACCAGCAGGATCAGATGGGCACAGAAAACTTTGCCACTGTGCCACCTGACACCACTGTGTGCAGGTCTAGATACCAAGAAGATAAAACTTCAGTAGGATTGATTATGCTGTGGCTTCCTCAGCTACAATTCTTACTGCCCTTGAATTAACAAGACCATCATCAACATGAAGCCTTAGCTTCAGTGTCCTAGAATTATGGCTTTATAGCCCACTCGTGCATTGCTATCTATTCATCTGACAAGAAGTGCATTTTCTTCATGATGCCTGTTGTCTTTATCCTTTAAAGCCACCAACCAGGTTGCTGATGCTATTCAAATAATAATTGGGAGGGCTCATACTATCCGCTTATGCTCCTCCACCTCTTTTCTGTGGTGGGTTGGTAATGTGGTTAATAGATGGGATTGCTCTACCAAGCAAACCAAGTCACAAAACCTTTACACTTATGGGTCGTTACTTTGTTTTAATGAGAAGTCTACAAATACCATAAAAACTGCAGGACCCAGAAATTTTCCTCTCAGATGATCCTGGAGCACTGTGTTACCAGACTCTCAGTTTGTGAAGTAAGTTTCATTAACAGAGACAAGAGCTGCAGAGCATATGGTGGAAATCTCAGGGGTATATTTGGCCTGTAGGTTGTATTCTGAACACCTCTGAAATAAAGTCAGCTATAAATCTTCCTGCTGTGGCTTCAGTATGTTCAGAATGACTTTTAGGAAATTACTATAAGGAAGCAGACAAACGTCATCTATACTCACGGATTAGAATGAGGAGAGGCTTAAACAAAGACATTTCAAAGAATGTTCTACAATTCTTAACAAAAGGGTCATCAGGATTCTTCTTGGAATCCACCTCAGTACCAAAAGCTACGCTACCAACGACATCCAACGTAAAGCAGTTGTAACACCTGCATTGAATTGAAGGATGATACATTGTTATCTACAATTCACATAACCAATAATATCTTGCTTCTACAAACATCACATAGCATTAATTTTTGACACTGGGTTTCTTTTTGCTTTTAGATTTGGGCTTTGCCAACAAGAGACGTTTCCATCATTCTGACAAATGCTGATGCTTAATAATGGTCACCTCTCTGCATATAAAATGAACATATTTTCATTTAGCTCAATAATTCCATCAAAAAATTATTAGAAATAAACAATTTAATTTTTTATTACCTAGAAATCAAAGGGAATCATCAGAGATTCATAAGCATTTTCTTAGTATGCATTCTAATAAAAGAGATCACTCCTTTCTCATTTTAAACTGCGAGAACCATATCTATTACCAGTCCCATCTAAACTCTCAGAATCAAGAGGTGTTTAAATAAAATTACGTTGCTTAAGGATTTCCTTCTTCTTCTCTATACCTCCTTTGTAATGTAAATCCATGGGCAAAACCAAGAAGAACTGACACCATGTGAAATCTGTATCTCTGCAGAGGAACAACCAGTGCTTCGAGAATTACAAATCATCTGTGGACCATGACCTAGAAACTTCAAAAGTTACCGAATCTCTCCCTGCATATCTAACCATCTATCCAGTTGCCTCACCATCTTTATTTTTCTACTGGGCTTTAGCAGCTATTTAGTTTTGAGATAAGTGGACGGGAGAATGTAAAATGTCCTTGAAATTTCATTCTTCTGATCTGTGGTCAAACCTACAATGAATGTTTTTCTATGATCCCTTACAAAAGGCTAATATCAGTCTCTGGAGTTTTAACCTGAGTGAGCATGTATGAAGAGAAGGTCAAGAGTCAGGCCCATTATATATCCTGTGTACATTGTGCAGCAGTATTTCTAAACTATGATCTTTGGCTTCTGTCATTCTGATGACACCAGATCAGATTTGAAAGATTACAGCAATACTGCAAAGTGAAGTAGCTTCTTTGGGTCTCCAGTTCTTACAAACACACACACACACACACACACACACACGAAAAAAGCATTATTAGAAGCTGAAATGCTAAAAGAGCGTCCATTCCTATAAAACAATAACTTCAGAGGTACTCAATCATTTATCTCTCCAAGGTACTGAAAAAAACCTTAAAAACTACATTTTGACTTGTTGGCAAAACACAAAATGACTAAAGACAACTCATGTACAACATCACAGGAGGTTACAGCTAGGGTATTTACATCCAAAAACAGCTCCCAAGGCAATTCTGTGAAACTGTAGTGGAATGAGAATCACATTTATAACTGTCAAACCTGCTGAAATGGTAGTATGGTAAAACAACTGGAAGATCATGTTCTGAGATGGTCAACATCATTCATTTATACTTTCAAAAGTTCTTTTCCAAAATGTCTCTTGAGAGGTGAAACCCTATAATAGATCAATAGCTAAGAGACCAGGCAAAGACAAATGGAAAAAAGAGAAAAGTCTAGAGGGACCCAAAAGGTCAATTTTCATCAGAGCACTCGGCTAGTGTAATGTATCTTGAGGTTTTACAGCATCTCTTCAGGTGTTTAATAAAGAGATCTCTGTGCACACACATACGCTTGCATGTGCGCATATATACGTGTCCTTGAAAAGAGATGAACGAATTGTGGCTAAATATCCACTTCTTCGGATGAAACAATATTATCTGTGCCTCTTCAGTTTGGGGGAAATCACAAAGAACTTCAGAAGGCACTGACCAGCCCAGCAAGTGAAGTGTACACAAAGTAGGGCCTACTAGAAAGAACACATTCACACTACTCATATGCTGCACAGGGTCCTACAGGAAATGCGTCTCTACTCAGAGAAGAAAGTGTTGTGAACAGTTCAGTGAAAACCTCTGATGAAAGAGCAACAAAAAAGATAATAGGATATTAAATGTATAACAAATGAGAGAAAGCACAATATGGAAAATATTAAAATGTCATTTTATAAACCAGTGGTGCGTTCTCATCTGAAGTACCGATCCCATTGTTTCACAAAAGGCTAGTGTTCCATGAGGGAGGATGTGAAGAATGTGGTAAGAATGATTAAGTGCTCAAAAAAACTTGTATAAAAAAAAGCAAGAGGGTGATGGACTAGAGATATTTGATATCAGATCAATTCTTATACTTGTACATTATTGGCAGACTGTAGAGAACAGACTGGGCAGGGATTGACGCAGCCTTCCTTTCTGCTTCCAGCTGTTAAAACTTCATTAAACAACAGCTAGAAATACATTAGATGCTTTACCAAAATTACTTTTCAAGTATGCAATGACTGCCCCCAGGAAGAAAAGGAGTTTATCAGACACATCCTCTATTAAACTATGATCTCCACTCTTAAAAATAAGGGAGGAAAAAAAACACTTTTATACAGTAAGTGTATGTTTAGAATAACTGCTGCTACTGATTTTTTTTTTTTTTAAATCTGCTACTAATTTCTGGCATGTTGAACATACCTCTGGATATCAAAAGCTTTGCCAGAATCTGCGTGGACTTTCAAGTTACACAGCAGGATGTCACAGGCCTGGTTTATTAGTGGTGTCATCTAGAAAGGAACATATTGAATTGTGAAAAACACTAAAATGTTAAGGGAAAAAGAAACCAGCAAAAACAATTATTTAAAATTATTTTTATCTTGTAAATGGGATGGAGCTCTCAGGTTCCTCTGCAAGTGTGGTTAGGCACTTATGCACAGATAAGATGAAATATTGGCACTGCCTGCTAAAAATAAACTTACAAATTATAGGGATGACCTTCTCCAGCTCTGGGCCTAAATACAAGAGGCTCTGTCACTTACCTGACCTTCAGGGCTTCTTGCCCACCTGTGACTACATACACAGAGAGCTATCAAGGAAAAATACCCCCCTCTCTTTCTAATCATTGCAGCTGATGATTTATCTTGATCCTTATTTAGAGTACATTACATTCAGCTTATACATGCTCCAGGGCAGAAAGAATAATATTTTCCAAAGTCCCAAATTCCTGTATAGGTATTGACATCAGAGGCCCAGCACTTCCATCCTGTTGTCTCTTGGTTTGAGGTATTTAACATATACATTAAAAACCACCCTGTGTACCACTACAGGCAGCTGAGGGCATACTGCAATTGATACATGAGGAAAGGATTTTCTGGAGCTGTGATGCCATTAAATGGACATTCACATGAGTTATTCAACTAGTTGTTCTTTCCAGTCACTGACACATGATGGTTGGGTAGACTGACCCATAGCCTGGCCGTAGCTCACAGTGCAAGTCTCCTCTTGACTCCTCTATGGTTTCAGCGAAGCCATAACACAGACAACCAAGAAGACCTCGTTAAAGTCTCTCTTTCTTTCTCTTTAACTTTTTACATATGAAAGGCATCAGAACTTCCTTGATGACACCAACTACGGGGGCAGAGGAAGGGTATAGCAGCAATCCAACTGTGAACCTGAAGGAATTATGTCCTATGGCTCTTTCCCATAAAGACTGGCAAGAGATCCTTACAGCCTACAACTTAATACCACAGTCTTGCCTCAATAATTATGCCAAGCACCCGGAACATACACATAGAAACCTGCCTCTCCTTCCTGAACAACCTCCTCCAGCATACGGATGTCAACAAACACGAGAACAGACTTGTCCTACTCCTCTGACATTCTTGTTACCAAAAAAGACTTACTGCAGCCTTGCCGCACTCTCCGAGAGCTGTGCAGCCTGCCCAGCCAAGTCCATTTTGCTTGGCACTTCTACCTCTGTGAAACTGGCATAACACTTTGTGCACAGGCACACTGCCATCCTAACACATGGGCAAGACTATACACAGTCAAAAGGCCAACGCGGGAGCATCCAATATGTTTTCCAAAGGCAGAAGTCTGAGTCAGGAATGTGTCTCGCTGCTCTCGAGGTCCCGTGCCTATATAGGAGAAATTTCATTTCAAAGCCGGAGTGATTTGGGCTTTGCCATAGTCTCACAAGGCAATTCTGACGACAGATTAGTATTTGGTAACAGTAGCTGTTACGTGTTTGGGAGGGGCACACCATGTTATGTGGCAGTTCTCCCTCCCTCTTTCAGCTTTCTAAAGATCCCCTGCAGTGAACTGCTTCTCAAATGGTTCAACAACTTTAGCACATTTCTGTTCAACAGATTGAACCAAGGTGAAATATTTTATAATCTATGAGTCCAGCCCCTCCAATGAATTGAACCAGTCAAGGAGAACAAAATGTAAATCCGTATTTTAACAGGTACGATGTTTCCTAAACAGATGGTGATCATTTCAGATGTTCCTGTTATTGCCTTATTTTCTCTTTTTTTCATCACACCACCAGATCTGCAACCACCCAGCTGGTTGCTATTGCTCTTCAACAGCTGGCAGAGTTGTCAGGGGCACGTCTGGCTAGGGCATCCCACAGCACTTCTGCACTTTCCTCATTCCACCAGCTTTCAAAATACTGTTGCAATTCATTTCTAGCCATAAGGTATTTTTATTAGTAAATCTAACCAGCAAAATAAGGAGGGGGGCACATGGATTTGATTTACTGTTAGCATGATAGGACAGAGTCATATCAATGAGACAATTATTTGTGTATGAAAGCTACAGGAAATATCTACTAAGGAATCATAGGTTGTGTTTGGGTTTTTATTCCCCTGGGGTGCATAAATTAGTCCAAGATTTCAAACTACAAAGATCACAGATTGAAACATTCTCAAGTCCCTTAACACCTCAAACTCTTTGTCCAATTGTCAAGAAAAATAAAGTAGTGTTAGGGGAGGTGAAATATATCAAACGTTGAAAACCAGCACAGAAACAGACACGTTGATCTACACCGCCTTGGTATCAGTGACTTTCAGTACATTCTCATTTCCCAGCCAGAACATAAAACCTGCATAACCTGCCTTAGATTCAGTTCTTGGTAGGTAAACAAACCCCAGCTGCTCTGTGTTCAGATTGGCTGAGAGGAACAGGATGAAGAAAAATCTAAACAATATGGTCCCTGTAAATATTTGATCTGCCAGTTATTTAATAGCAAGAGTAGCCCAGAGTCCAAATTTCTTTCTTTTTGCCAAAGAAGAGCATTTGGGGTTAGGGTTTTCGTGATGCCAGGGGCTTTGCTGTATAAATCCTGCCAACATGCTATTTGGCACATAACAACAATTAGCTTCTGATTCTGCGTACACACAGTGCGTGTGGATGTTTACACTTTTCAAAGGCATCGGAGTCACATTCCTCTAGTTAGATGTGGCCCTCAGTATTCATTAGTATTATTATTGCCCTTATTATTAGCACAGTAAACTAAAAAGTAGAAGGCTGGATCATGTTCACTGTAGACAGACACATTGGAGACTTTACTGTTCGCATACAGAAGAAGGAAAAAGAATACATCCCTAAAACAAGAGTTGCTTCTGTTCCAGATTTAAAGTCCCTGAATAAAACCAGGAAAAGACTGGAGTGTCAGGAAGACGTTTCGTGAGCGGATTTGTTTCCATCACCTGACAGTGGGCCTTGCTATTCCTGGGCACAGCTTACCAAAATGAGCAACTCAACCAGACACTGACCTGTGGCTCAAGGATATATACATTTCATATATCAGTTTTTACTGTTAGTTATTTGATTTGCCTTAGGTGAGCACACTTGCTTTGCCCAGTAACAACAACAATATCCAGAGATCCTTCCAAAATGCTTTTGACCAATGTGCACAAACAGAATAAGAGCAAATCAAGGAAATCTTAATGGTTGGACTGTCAGATCTTATGTCCTAGTGGGACATGAAAGATCTACATGCCTGAGAGTGACACTAGAGGATTTTCCTGCACTGTTCTGTCACGTTATCCCAAGTTCTGCTTTGTGTCTCCCTTCATTTGAAAGAAATGCCTCAACACAAACTCCACTTCACAGGTTATTTAGGACATTGCTACATTATGCTGTGCTCTCCCCTCTAATTTCTGTTCTGCTTTGTTTTAATGGTTTGTTAATGGAGGAGAGGATTCCCTGCATACTGATAGGAGATGACAAGACTACTGCAGCACCATCAGAATAAATAAAAATCAATAGGTTTTCTGCTGGTGTTGGCTGTAAAAGAGAGCAAAGCTATTTATCAAGTCTGACAAGGGGTCCAGAACTGCAGGATCATCACAGGCACCACAGCAAAAAGAAGAGGAACAAAATAAGAAATACTGAATAGGGAATCAAGATCAGTACAGTAAGATCACTAACATGTCAGTTTGTTTCAATACGTAATAGCTGAGGAGAGCATGACAGGAACACTGGGAAATTATTCTTTTACTTAGAGCCTCCAGGTATTCATCAATTCCTCATGAATTACATCTTGGATCAACTTTCAGGGGTTGGTATTATTCCCATTTAGAGATAAAAATTGTTTCATGTGCAGAGCATTTAAGTAGCTTCCGTCAGATCACCCATAGGCAGTCAATGTCAGAACTCGAAGTGGAATTTCTTGGGTGTCCTGCCTCCTGTCTCTCATTTCTCATTCTCATTCTCCCATAGCAATGGCACTATGAGGGGGTCTTACTGGAAAGAACTTATTATCAGATCGGCTACCGAGTCCAGTGGCATGCCACATGGGATGCTACCAAATCTTACTGCAGGACCAAGCCTAGAAGTCTATTGCTTTATGCTATGCTCACTACCATTATAGTATTTGTATTTAATGTTATCTGGAGCCAAAAATTCCTTCTCTTGGAGTGGACTGCTTTACTAATCTTCACATGCTTATTAGAAAAAGAAAATTTAAAAGGGAGAACACCCAATATATAGAAATCCATAAAAGCAACAGTGAAACAGTGCATGGCTTTTAAAGAGAACTTGAGAAAGTAAAAGCTAGAGAAGATATCAGAAACTCTTGCAAAATGTTACAAAAATAACTCTCTGTGCACACACAGCAATCACTACATGGGCTACCCAACAGCTCTATAACCTCTAGTTTCAGTTCATTTCCTGTAAGTGAAAAATTAAAAATTTGTGGAATTAACTTTTTTATCATTTGGTGACTGGCTGTTGTAGATTTTTGCCAAACTAAGGGGAAATTCCTCAAGCTCAGCAAACTTCTCAGTGACATTACACCACTTCTGTGGAGCGACAAGGGCAAAGTATGCCTTTGGTCACAGCCACAGCAGCCAGGTGGAGCACTGCAGGTTGAATCTTAGCAACATACATTAGCTCTGCCTTGGCTCTTGTCCTCCAGCAGCCAGGTCAAAGTAGATACCAGCTTCATTCTTAGCAGCACTGAAACTGTCCCTTCTTGGGTTTCTGAAATGGAGTTATCAGGAACCTCCAGGCTCTGGCCCTTGGTGCATCTTTTATCTGAAGTGATTGCTATAGGGAGCATAAGGAGTTGTTAACATTTCTTCCTCTGTCACAGGCTAATAGCTCTCAGTTCTCTCAGAACATCCAGACAGACAAGTCTATGTTTGGAGTGGCACTAGGGGCTGCAGCACTCAAGGAAACCACTCAGGAGGTCTGCAGTCTCTCCAGCATCACTGGGGAGTTTATACAGAGGAATGAAGGCAAGGCAGACATCCAGAGAGGACAGAGAGGAAGACTTTGGTGAGGAATTTTATCAGAGCTTGGACCTCTATAGCAAAAGAATCAATGTTTTGGGAGAAAAAAATAAGAAAAGTGCCTGGTAGTATTTATAAATATGTATAGAATTACATATCCAGGTTTTAATGCAATAAATTAATACCAAAGCTAGCTTGTTTGTAACTGTTTTGAAGTACAGAGGAAGAGTTTATTATAAACAGGATGTCTTCTGCATAACTCCAAATACTCTGTAGTATGGCCAGTAGTAGAATATGGTACTTTTGTTTCCATGCTGCTGCAGAGGTTCTGAAAGAGTACCAAATATGGGAGAGTAAAAAAGTGAGATCATAATTAATGAGCATCAATTTCCTTTGAGAAGTGTCAGTATGGCTTCTAAATTAAGCAACAGAAAGAAAAGCACATGGGCAAGGACTTAAGTTGCATTAACTTCAAATCCCAGGATTGTTAATGTATTTGGGTAGAAAACGAGATGCGAGGCTGAGGAGCACATCCGTTCAACAGCAGTTCTTAATCTCATACGGGCTTACTGCAAGTGTCTCTCTGTGTCAGGATGGAGAGACTTCTGCTGAAGGCATAGGAGAGAGGAACAAAGCTGAGCTTTTCAGAGACCTTCCCCACTCCTCTTTTTCCCACTTGCTGTAAAATGGGAGGAGAAAGTAACCATTTCCAGGTCACCCTGAGCCCATACACAGTCACAGTCCTTCCACAGAGCTTGGAAGAGGCAGCATGGGGAAAGGTGATTATCCAGCTAAAAATAAAGATCTCAGTCTTTGCATGCGAGACGGCTACCAGGCACTGTCCCGCCCTTAAGTCTACCTCCTACCACTATTCCTTCATTCCATCTCCACCACCAAGCAGTGCAAAGGGAGTGCCATGACTTCTCCTCCCAAGTCAATTTGACCAGTCAGACCTTACAAACCTGTGTGTGCCCAAGCAGGGCACCCAAGGCTCCACTCGCTTGCCCTCGCTGTGCTCCTCAGCCAAGCCTGCCCGGCTGGTGCCGGCGGAGGTTGCTCTCCACAAATTGAGGGGAGAACAGCGTTATCTTTTGTTAGTCCTCCAGCAAAGAGCCGATGACCTGCAGTAAGATTAATTTCCGCCAGGAAAATGCAAAACTCTCCTCTTCCCACCATGCCATGTGCAACTAATCGCTTGCATATTTAAACACCCTTGCCTTGCTAAAATTTCGTGATGGAGTCGGTGACAGAGCAAATGTCGGGGCGCATAACCAATGGCATTGTCAGTCGTGATTAATCAGCAGCTCCACCAGGCTCACAGCCAATTAGAATTTACCATAATAAGGAGGTGACAGCCGGCGTTGCTAAGCAACCGCTGTCTATAGAGCTGGGAGAGGCAGACACATTTAGATGTTACTGTGGATTTCGACAGCGGCATGTCAAAACAACACAAGCGTCTGCCCAGTGGAAAATTTTACAACCCAGGACTGGGCACTGGAGTGAGGCATGATTCCCTTTCAGAATAAAACACATGAAGGAAAAGGTGATTTTTTTCTTGTTGTGGAGATGGGGGTTTTTTTCCCTTGAAAGAAGACTTTAACCAGTCAATCATTTATCTGCATTTAATTAAGAGATATCGTGTCACTGGAACAGGACTTTGTTACCAGGTAATGGGCTCCCATGGCTGAGCAAATGCTGATACATTTATAGGAAATTAGCAGCAGGTCAGCACAGAGACATTTATTTTCAGTCAGAGGTATTTATCTGGCAATGACATTCTGTTCCAGTGACTTATTTTATTATATGAAAGGATTAAATAATAAAAGGAGGAGGGGAGGGGAAGGAGATGGAGAAATGAAAATAGACTGATAGCAGTTCCTGTGTTAATGTGAGAGTTGCTGACTCTGCACATCATGAAAAGCTATGTTCCAACTGGGAGCAATAACCTTTCCTGTACTCTAGCTTACTCCTAACAGGGTAGGAGAGAGGAAGATGTAAGGGTCCTTCTTGAGCATGCTACACTTTCATGGACAAACTGCCTCACATAAAGGAAGACAGAGGATCATATCCTCAGCTAAGCCATTCTGATTTTTGCCAGTCTATGACCTGGACCATGCTGTACTTATGCTCTACTGCACGTGCTCTTCAGGCCTAAGTAAACTGGCACAAAGCAAGTTTTGCCTATCCTTAATATGGACCTACATAAAGCAGATGACTGCGCTAGTCTTCTAAATTATGAAATCAGAACTGTCTACACCTTACCTCTTTCAGTTTGGTATCGCTGAAGGCTGGGGTCAGGAGGCTCCGCACATACTTCCATCTGTCGTCTCGAAGACAAAGGATGCTATCAAGCATTGGCTTGGAAATCAAGTTCGGCTTCTAATTCAAAAGAAAGCATAATTCAGTTTTAACACAAATGAAACTATAGCTACTCAAGACTCTGAAACTTGGAAAGATTGGCAAGGAATGGCATTGCATTGCTGTCCCATGATGAGAGAGGTTCAGTTCAGTCCCAAACACCAAGCTAAACATGGATGAGGCTGGAGAAAATTTCTCTTTTGCTGCACTTATTTCCTCTTGGGCTTGTAAAAGCCCTGGGCCAGCCTTGCTCAGGCTGTTCCAGTTCTGATGTTCCTGGTGTTCTCCTGAGATTGCCTTCTTTGAACCCTGGCTTCTTTCCTCCCTTCCTAAGGTGACTAACAAGAGGACTTGTCAACACTCCCTCTCTGTGTGACATGAGTGCCAACGCACCACATGCGGGTGTTGGTGGGGGACATGATTTCTGGTGACAGCTGGTATGTCAGACTGCTACATGCATTTTAAAAGTCTTCAGAAAATATGTTGATTAGAAAGCAAGTCCCAGTCATTACTCTAAGGAACACACTCAGAAGTTGTGGCCTGTGACTCTTACAGCTGCAGCAGACTGTCAAATATAGTAGCTTAAAGCATAGCCCCATGAAGTTCTGTACCAAGATAACTACTATGAATTTACTAAATTTTAATCTCCCCCACCATTTAAGAAATTCCTATTCAGAGAACAGTGATATTCACCAAGGAGAAAAAGGATATGAAAGATGAAAGTGTGTCAGAAAATAGCACACTTCTGCTTGGAAGAGGCATCAGGAGATGTCCAGCACCACAGCAGAATCTACTATAACTTACATTATTGTCAGAAGATGTTTCCTAATTGTTCTTGAAGGCTCTATGGAGATTCAATAACCTCCTCATTGAAACTTTCAGTGCTGGACTACTTTTACTGTGGTTGTATGATCTCTTTTGCTGGACCATACTGTCTTTAGTCTTTTTGCTTTCACAGGCATAGAAACCAGCTTATTTTCCCCAGTTTTGCAGCAGCCCATATATGCAGAAGACTGTAATAACCACTGATCATATTGCTGCCATCTATCCCACATAACACCAATGTGCTCAATACATACTTATCAGTCATGTTATCTGGGACTGACTGTTCAGTGTTGTTACTGTCCTTCTGCATAGTTCTGTTGATTTACTTCTTTCTCAAGGTACAGTCCCTGTGAGCTGACACGGTGCTCCAGGCAAGGAAGGTTGGGGGTTTCCTGCCAAATGTTCTGCAAGCTATATTCCTTTCTCTTCTCCCCAGAATACTACATACCACACCATGACAATGTACTCATGTACTGGATTGTGGTTCCTTGCAACTCTCAGACTTTTTTTCTGAATAGTTACTCCCCAGGAAGTTATTCCCCAGCCTTTATCATTAAAACTGGTTACTCCCAAGAGTCACATATAGAACATGTCCTTGTTGAACTGTGACCATTCTTTTTATGACTACTTTTCCAGCTGATCAAGACCACTTTGAATTTTAGCCCTTTCTTTCATCCTTACCAGCTTTCTACATAAATCGTTAGTGCACTCAGTGACATCATTTAACTCATTAAAAGAACTACAGATCAGTACTTACAAAGAAGGCACTTCTGGGCTCCTCCCTTTCCTTCCAACAGTGCACTTTCCCAAACACGTTTCAAGTCACCTTCAGTTGATATTTCAGGCATTGTACAGCAATGTTCTCTGGACAAACCATCCTAAGATTGGTGGGTGCAGGTGAAAGGTGTACACTTCTCCGGTTACCAGGATGTACAGAGGCACTTATTTGTGTATGTGAGATTTTCTGGATACTGCAGTGCCAGCACAGTCCCCCCTGTTATGAGTAGTAACAGTATTCACTTTACTGGGAAAGACCCAAACAAACCAAGGATGCTTTGGCCTTCTCAATGCCATCTGTTGATTCCTTTCACCCTCTAACCTTTCCTTTCAGTCATTCTTTCATTACTAATGTATGTGAAAAATGAATTCTCATCGCCTGTTTCAAATGTGGATATTTTAATATCATTTTGTGCCTCAATATTTCTGATTTTATTGTCACTACATTTTTTTTTTAATCCTTCTTCTTGGAAATCTGACCTACTTTCCACTCTGTAAAAAACAACTCTTCAGGAGCCATGAGGAGCTGGCAATTTAGCTACGCTGGTCCTCTGTTGCATTTCCTTAGCTTTCCTCCTTATTGGAAGAGTTTGCACTTAATATTGTTTCTTTAAGGAGCTGCCAGCTCTCCTTAACACCTTTTTCCTTTACACTTGCCAGATTCTTACTACGCTGCATAAGCTTGTAAAACACAGAAGCCTATTTTATATTGCAAACAGGTTAATGGCATAGTTTTACATTCTCAGCAACACCATTCAGTGTAGTAAACTAATGTCACTGGGCTGACACTACAGACCACTTTTGAGCAGAGATGAGCGGTTCTCAAGTAGAAAATTACATAGCAGGATATTGAGCTGAAGGAAGAGATTGACTTAGGTACTGTGATCAGATAACTACTGTAAGACAAAACATGGGTACTTTTTTAATGTATACATAGACCATTCTATTTTGTGCAATAACAAGGAAAACTTGGGACAAGCTGTCAAAGTTGAAGCAGTAGGACTGTTTTCTCTGAGTATCCTCTTTAAGTAAACAATCTGTTTTCTAACTTGTCAGTCGGTATCTTTTCTGAGGATCAGAAGTGCAGCTAGAAGGACTCACTGGAGCTCTCCCTCATTTGTTACAGATATTCAAAGACAAGGCAGAATCAGAAGAAAGAGGCTCTAGACAATTGGAAATGAGCACCACCCTTTCAGAAAGCACTGTATGCCAGCCTCTGCTTCACAATTCTTATGTGCTGCTAGGGAAGCTGCTTACACTAAATCTTGACTCAGCTGGTCACCAAATAACTGTTCCTTATATCTTTGGTCTTCAGTTTCAAACCCTGAGGCCCAGATTGCAGCACTCCTGAGCACTCACTGAAATCAACAATAGGGAATGTGTCTTGGTCATGAGAAATGCATTAGCACAAGAAATCAGGTATTAAATATGGCCCCCAAATTAGCAAGCACTCTCAGACCCGTGTTTCAACCCCCAGCCTTCACCCCTGCTTTATAAAGAGGAGATATCACATCATCTCCTCAGAATTGGTAACAACACATTAACATTTCTGAGGCACTCAGAAACTACAGTGAAAGAGCTGAATAACAATTCCCACAAGGAAATGACCGATTTTGTCTTCCAAAGGTTTGAATAGCATACGGGGGGAAAAAAAATAGAAAAAAATTATAGAGCAACACTTGGAAAAGTATTTTGCATCCACTCCTAAATTGAAGGCTGCCCAAACTGTGCACTCTGTAAGACAAATCTCCTTTACAAGACAAGGCTCCACTTGGATAATAACAGATGTGATATAAATCTCCCTGCATTTGCCTTGAAAGCAAATTCCCTCCCTAAAACCAAGCACTCGCCTTAAAAAATGCTCATAATTGCATAAAGACTGTATATAGAGCATTCACAGAGAGGGACCCAGTTTCTGAACAAAAAGCCTGTTAACTATAATATTATAACTACAACACTAACTATAGCATTGCCTTTCTAGCACTCTACTTTATGTCAGTAATGCTCCCTTAACATATTTTTTGTGTGTATAGTATTTTATACATATAAATGCTGCAAGGAAGGAAAGACAATTTTGGCCATAAATTATTCTACTCTGTGTCTTTAAACTGAGTATGCAAAAATATGTTTGTGTTTATTGGAACAGCATCAGCATGACTGACAGTGTATAGCAGATTTCATTTATCACATTTTTCTTATTGTTTCTGCAAACACTTTCCTCCTAATTGTATAACCTGTGTTACAGGTTCACATAGCAGGAATGAAAATGGATTTGCTATGAGAATGAGCCTGAAGTGTCTTAGTGAAAGATGAAGTGTCACCTCTCTCCAAATGGACAAAGTACTAGATGTATCTGAAAATCCTTTCTCTATAAAAATCACTAAAAAGATTACCATGGGAGGCAGGTGTAATATTTTCAGGGGTGGGATCTTGGTTTTTAAGTGGCAAAGGAGGTTGCTTTTAAGTCAAATGCAATCAGGCTTATGTTCCATCTATCATTATCTAAATACTCACCGATTCCTCTACACTTCCTTCTCCTATACAATCAACCATTTCTGACTGTGGTACAGTAATGCTGCATGAAAACTACTGGCAGCATGGTAATCTGCTGCAGTGTACCTATAAGTGCTGCTGAGTTCCCACAAACACAGACATGCCATCAACAACAATGAGGAAAATTGGAGGGATTTGCTCGCAAACAAATCCTTTAAAACATCAGGGCTTTTAAAACAGAAAATAATATTTGCAGATGAGCAGCATCTTTGCAGTTGATGCAAGAATTCCCTCCCCATTAAGGTGTTCCTTAGGCTGACCCTTCAGACCCAGTTATTGGTTTGTTCATCCCTGAGTCAATTTGGTTTGCTCTGTATTGCTAAATAATTTAGGAAAGTGACTCTTCTCAGGCTCTGAGGCCAAGTGGAACAGAACACCTCCTGTCCCCAAGGTTAAATCCCTTTCCTGAAAAGAGTGGACATATCCAAACTGCTTATGGACATGGTGCATCTTCACCTCCTAAACTGTGTCCAGACCACGCCTGGGGGTCAATAACGACAAAACCACGCTAACAAACAATATGGACATCTATCTATAGGACCTACTCATGCACTAATATCCTGTCCCTGCCTTATCCTGGTGTAAAACTGTAGCCTTCTGTGACAGATACATCATTTGTTCCTTCTCTGAGTTTGTCACTAGCAGGCTACACTGAACCTCTAGCAACCAGCAATGACTGCCTGGAGCAGAAGGAAAGGTAACAGCATCATGATGTTCCCTTAGAAACTCCTTCTTGTTCCTTTGGTGGAAAAAAAGGGAAAAGGTTTACAGCCAGCAGAAGAAAGTTAATGAAGCCATGCACTCTTTAAATATCCTGAGCAGCTGAATCTTTGAAGAACCTAAAGTGTACCTTTAAAGACCTTTAA